ACAGAAATACATAAAATTCTTAACCAAAGACTAAACATGACACACTGATGGAGGTGCAGCAGAGTTCTGAACTGTCATAGTCAAGTCAATCCAATTTTTACACAGAAAAATAACACACACAGACACAAACTCTCACCGCACACACAGAAAATTCAATCATTTTTCTGCTGCTGCCCCAGGAAACATACTGTGGAAACCTCACTATAGTGGAAAATCACCTTTTCCATGTCATTTTGCTCAGAAGGACCTGCAGAACACACACACATACACCTTCTGACTAAATTTGTACAACGAACCAAGCGATCAGATTTTTCTTTTAACTCTTTGTGGTGCAGATCTCACACTTTCATGCCTATCCTAGCCAGAAGAGCTAGCAAAGGAAGAGACTTTTAATGCAGGCGTGAAAAATAAATTCTGGGCCTCAAACAGTTAATGTGATTTTCATGACAATTAAAGGCTTGGCGGTGGAGGTTGGCTTACATCAACAGGAAACTAGATTTTTCAAAAGTGTAAGTAGTTTAAAGCTTAGCAAAAATTTCATAGATGTTCCTCTAACCGGAGCTTATAAAAAGTGACACAATAATACATCAAATTTTACTTTAAATATTTAGCTGGTATCACTTGTCTGTCCATCCGTATCTATCTATCTATCTATCTATCTATCTATCTATCTATCTATCTATCTATCTATCTATCTATCTATCTATCTATCTATCTATCTATCTGTATCTGTCTGTAATTGTGCTGATTTTATTTTATTTGTAAAAACATTTTCTAGATACAACTTTACAATAAATTACAGCATTTAACATAAACTAAAAAAAAAGTCTGGAAAAGACGTATTGGCAGAAGCAATAAGCTCATAACAAATATTACAGTTGTTTTCCAATAAAAATGGGAACAGGAAGCACAAAGTGAAAGGAATTAAAAAAAGACATTGATGTTAATCCAAATATTTCCACTTTGACCACAAAAAAAAATGTCTAGGCAGTGTTGTGGTCAATATAAATACGTTTTCTTTTCTTATTTACCTACTACAATAATGTTTTATCTGTTCTTTAAGGAGAAAAAAGTTTTTCTTTCCCTTTTTTTGTTGCGTTGTACAAAATAATTCAAAAATGTAAATTTTTCTGTACAAATTAGCAGTAGAAAATGACAAGTGGTTCTTTTTCAGGGGCCATAGATGGCCCCAGGGCTCCACTTTTGTTCAAACATGCAAGGATTTGAAACCAATATTTAAACATCATTCATGTAAGAAAAAAATTAACACAAAAGTCAATATTGCTGACCAAACTCATGTTTCAAAGAGGGTTGTTTTATGGTTTGAAAGTTAAAAATATAAACATCTATTTATCGTCCGGTTGGTTTACAGAACATTTGTTTTTAAATGCAGTGACATTTATTTGTTAAAGAAATCAGATTATTGATGTTTGAGGCACTACTGTCAGTCCAAAGAGAATTCAGAAGAAAGTAAGTACGTCTTTATCAGCACAAAAACAAAACTCTTCTCTACTTCTGTCACTTGTAGAGCCCCAATGAACGCCCTCTTCCTCCCCCAAATCACTTTCCTTTGCCAGCACAGCTCAGTGGGACCCTCTTTCTCACTCTCTCTATTTCCATCCTCTCTCTGCTGCTGTAATTCTTTCGCCCCCTCCCTCAGGGCAGAAGTAAACCACGCCTTGAGGCCCTGCTCCCATTGTGTGCCCTCTGCTACTTCTGTTTGGGGCCTTTGTGTGCCGCTAATCAGCCGTGGGGCCATGCTTGGCCCCGAGTGTGTGTCTGAGAGTGTGCGTGAGTGTGTGTGTCTGTGTCCCTTGCCCTCATTACGTAGCCACACTGGGAGGCCAGCATGGGAAGTTTCTGCTGCACTATACACCTCCCTTCATCCCTCCACCACCCACCCCACAAACTCCCGTCCATCACTTACATCCTCCCCCTTCATTCTCACTGCTGTGAGACTTGGACACTTTGTAAGCAGAAGTACACCTGTTCCACCCAAAGTTTTGTTTTGCAGTGAATGTTTCCACTGCAATGTTAACATGGTAGGATGAAATCATTTTGTTTTGGGAACCGAGTTAAAAATTTGGGTTCTCCAAAGAAGTTTTGAAACTTTAAAACACATATTTGTCTTAAACTTAATTGGAACAATTGAATTTCAGTGATTGTGCTGCTTTGAAATTGAATTTTTAAAATTAGTTATTGTTTGTTATTGTATTTTATTTTGATTTTATTCTTTGCAGTTAATGTGGACAGTATAAACTCAAATTCACATCATTAGACGTTCAAATTCCGACTGTGTCGCTTTTAAAGAAACCGTGGTAACATTGCAATAAGACATTGTTAGAAAAGAGAGACAAAACACATGTAGGATTAATCTCTATTTGAATATTTGTAAATAAGATTAAAGGTTTTCCAGACAAAAGCTTATTAGCTTAGCTTATTATGATGGATTAAATAATTCACTTATTAAGATTATTCAGATAAGGTTTTGGTGTAAATCAGATGCCAGCTGTGGCTGATAATAAACATGATTTATAAAACTTGGAATTTAGTTCTGAGTTTTCATGTGTTTTGTTTTTAAGCTCCCTTTTGTTCCCGTCTGTATTAATAAAGTATTTATCCTCTGTTTCTAACTTATCTTGTGTTTATCTCCGCTCAGCCTCTCCCAGCTGCAGCACATCCGCTCACTTAGACTCACCTGTCCATTGTTTCCTGCTACCCCCACTTGTGTTCATGGTTTGTTAGTGTTTCCTTTTGGGTTGTCTGCTGCCTTTGTTATTCTTGATTTTAAAATGTGGACCTAATTTTTGTGTTCCCTACATTAAACTAAACTTTAATATGATTCAGCCTGTCTCCTGACAGTGCTTGGGTCCAATTCAATGACAACATCCAACAGGTACTTTAAACCACCTACAAGTTAACTTTATTATGGCTATAATATATCGACTGCCAGATAGGATATTTTCCTAGAGTACAAGCTTCATCTAAAAATTGCTCATGATGACTTCAGAGAACTGATTATTATTCAGTTGTATTTGCGGTGAGTTTGAATCTTCTCTGTTCTAATCTTACATTGTTTGTATTATGACTTTCTTTTTGTTCCTATTTTCAAGAATTTGATGAATTAAATGATTGAAAAGATGGTAAAGGTTTCCAAAAAGAGACTTCTACCTGCCAAAATACATACATGCAGATCAACACCCAGAGAGATATATAAGGTTTATTTGTAGGATCAGAAAAACTTCCCTTCCTCTTTTAAAGTGCATTCAACTAAACTTCCAGATCGTTTATTCTTCCAGAATATTCCCATCTTTTCTGATAAATTGTCTCTTGGTCACTAGCTTTTCAGCTTACTGACCCATATTAATGCTATATCTCATAACAAGACAGTATGCTTGTTCTTTTGTGGGGGGTTTTCACAAAAATGAGTTAATGGAGCTTAAGGGGTTGCTTCAGAAGGGACACTTTGCACAGAACTTATTCCCACCCTCAGTCATACAACAAGCCCTTCAACTATTCTAATCATGTTTGTTCTGTAAAGTTGCATTGATATTGCTATAAATACACATGTTAAGGTTCTAAAACCTTTTCCAAATTTTAAATGCCTGTGTTATATCTATACAGACAGTTTATAAAAAGCATGATAAGCATAGCTGAAGCATTGCTTCCAATCCAATTAATCTTTATCTTTGAGACTCAAAAAAAGTATTCCAAGCTTTCATAATGGATTTTAATTGATTTTGTAACTTTAGTTTTGCTATTCATGCAATCTGTATCTGTAATAAACTCAAAGAAAAAGTTAACTACAGAATGGTTCTGTAAAACCTTTCTTTTCAATTTGAGTTGCAAAGTAAGCACAAAAATGACCTTAAAGATATTAATGTTTTTTTTTTTTTTTTTTTTTTTTTTTTTTTTTTATCTGGCACTTTTAAGATCCAACCCACTGTCAATGGAAGTATGACCAACCTTAGGGAGAAAAGTATAAGCCACAAGCAGTATATAATAACGCCAAACCACAAATTAAATTTGAAGCCATCAGTGCCTTTTGCCCATGTATTGGTTTGGATGATTCTGCCATGTTTTTTTTTAAACTATGGAAAGGAGAAAGTTGACCATTGATTGCAGCCAAAACACACAAACCTTTAATGACTGCAACCAGGAACTTTACTGGATATACTAAGCTGTATGCAGATAACAAATATAATTTTCTACAAAGATTTTTGTAACACAAAAAGGGAGATTTACATTTCTAAAAAAAAAAAGTGTAGACAATAGTTATGATTCCTAGGCATATTTGATGCCAGGATTGTGATAACTATTGGCAGCAGTCAGTCAGCCATCAACTTTATTGATCATGTCATTTCACATCTGTTTATGCCAATATTTCATGGTTTATCCAAACATCTGGTGTATTTTTCAAAACTCTTTGTTTACATAAGTCTTTACTTTCTTTAAGCCTTCTGTAACACCAAGTTAACTACATCTCTCTACAAATCAGATGTTCAGACACTTAACTACAAGAAGTAACAACAGAAGTAAGACAACTGGGTCAGACCAATACAGAAAAATGCTCTAACAAATATGAATATATTAAATGGACTAGTTCAAGTTCAAAACTAATTTAATAACAAATGCACAGATAGAACCACAAAATAAAAGTGGAATTAATGACAGGTGCAGCTTTGATGAAGGTCAAATTGTCTTAAGTTGATCAAAACTAAAACTGCACCTTTTCAAATGAATGAAATAAGGAAGGCTTTTAAAAATGTGTTATTACAAACACA